GAGGATGTTGCATGGGGTGTTCGGATACTAAATAAAAAAACAAATTACATAATCCGTCAGTACTCCACGAGACGAATTTTTAAGCCTAATTAATCCGTTATTAGCACATGTCTAATGTAGCAAAACATTGTCAAATCATGAACTAATTAGGCTCAAAAGATTCGTCTCGCAAATTAGTCGCAAACTATGTAATTAGTTTCATAATTAGTCTATATTTAACACTCCATACATGTGTCCAAACATTCGATGAGACAGCGACTAAAATTTAAAAGAGGCAACCAAACACCCCCTTAGGGGCCGCAAGTCATACCCCACACAAAATGTCCTAGCAGTTGTCGACTTCAACCTACACTTTACTTATGTCCTAGCAGGGTGGGAGAGGTCCGCTCATGATTCTCTTGTGCTGCAAGATGCCCTTTCTTGTCCAAATGGACTTAAAATTCCTGAAGGTATTCATGGATTTTAAAAATTCTTACATAGTCTCACCGTTATGACATGACATTAGGCATTATGTTAACTTTGGTTGTAGGGAAGTTCTATTTGGCCAATGCTGGATAAGTCACTAGGCCAGGCATAGTACCGCCCTACCGTGGAGTTCGTTATCACCTAAAAGAGTTTCACGGAGCCCAAGACCCAAAATGTCCAAAAGAGCTTTTCAATCACCATCATTCCCAAACTTAGGACAACAGTTGAACGAGCATTTGGTGCTCTCAATAATCGCTTCAAAGATTCTTAGCAACAAGCCATTGTAATGATGCCGACTGGTGTAGCTGTATTGCTGATTGTGTGAAATGTAATGAAACCTGAAGTAGAAAGAGTTGCATTACAGAATGAATAATTAGAGACAAGTGCTGGCACAGGAAAATAAGTATAGTGGGAAAGTATCACCCTATAAGCAGGGAGCTGTTCAGTAACATCATAAGGGTACATGACCACCACAGCGCAATACTTCTGTATTACATCATTGTCTTTGTAAAGAATTTAATTCATGAATAACTATGTTACGTGCATTTAAAAAAAAAAATCTTTCAGCAAAATATGTTAGGATGTGGGCACATGTGTCCGGGCAACAGCAATAGCAATAGCAAAGGGAGAGAATCAAAACAGGACACATGACTGAGGACATAACGGTCCCGTTCGTTTGGCTGATAAGCCATGGCTGAAAGTACTGTTGGCTGATTTGTTGTGAGAGAAAAACACTGTTCCAGCTAAAAAAACAAGCTGAAAAGTACGGATTATAAGACAAGCGAACATGGTGTGCAAGGTTGGGCGTGTCAGCCAGAGCAATGATTTGGCACTCTGATAAGAACATGGAATTGCGGGTCAGAATTAATCATGAAAACTGGTGGTCATCAAATGACAACGCGCAGTCAAATATTATATTTACCCAAATTATTAACCAAACAGGATATAATGAAGGATCAGATTGTCCAAAGCAATTTCATAGTTTCTAAAATTGGCGGGTGAACAGGCTGGAAATAGAACACCCATTTGGTAAACAGAAACAGCAAAGAGTAAGAAGTAATGGATAAATTACTCAAATTGTTGAGATTTGTTTCATGAGATCAATCTATAAAAGCGGCGTCATGGTCTTTCATGAGATCAATGTAGGCTTGTATAGCTTTTTTATTAAAATATGGTGGCACATACAGGAGAAGCTTCACATAAACCTATAAGGTAAACAGAACTATAGGAAAATTATAGGCATAAGCAGAGTCACCATGTTGACTAACTGTTAATAGAAGAAACGCAATTGTAAGAACCATCCTAAATCCTTCCAACACATCATAATATTGGTAGTTATTACTGTGGTGGGAATTGTCTAGGGAAAAAATGGACACCTGTTTTAGTTCTGCCCAGCCAATCAACAATTGTCAGAATGGCCATGACCATGGGGAAAGTCGTCAATGTAAAGTGGATAATGACCTGCAAAATAATAGCAAATGCAATCAATGTGTATCATGTCAAATCAAATCTATGGAGAGAACATCTAGTTTGGTAACACAAAACAATCGCTGCGGTCATCGCTGGGGTACGACCGAAGTCAAAAGCAATAGAACACATGGCTTTATTTTGCCACAGGAATAATAATTTTATAAACCCATCTGTTCCATTAACCTGTAAGTGGTAAACAACCTTGGCTTCAACTATGAAATCTGCTTTTGTGGTACTCCATAATATCATCGAGAGGTTTAAAGGATCCTGTTCTTAATGCATTGGTTCCTGTTTGTGTACATAAAGAAATAAAAGGAATGTTTCACAGTAAGGAAACCTAAATATGTCAACAATCTGAGCTTAGGTATCCTTTCTTATTCTATTTCATGCATCAGATTGGGCAACCACTATGGAAATAATGGGATACGTCTGGTCATGCACATAAAAATTGAGCAGATCGAGGAAGGACCAAATATTGTGGTATGTGGAGACGCTTCAGGTTGGTTTGCAGGTCGTCTGGCAAAACCAAAGTGGCAAACCTGCTCTGCTATTTACTATTAGGCACCGAAACATTGGTGATATCAGGAAAATGTGGACATGGTTTTCATAAACATAAACAGAGCAGCACGTGATGGCAAAAGGACAATTTAGAAAAGTAATAGGGTGAGGTACAATTAACCTGTTATGAATAACGTAAAAGACTCCAAGGGATAGGGTGGATCATTTTTTTGGCAAAGCATTGACATAGTAGCATCAAACAATGTGTAAACACGCTATTGTTGACTGTTGCTACAAAAATGCGCTACTGTTGCTACAAAAGGAAACCCAAAGCGTAGATGAGATTACTCCCGAAGAAAATCTAAGTATGCGTATATTTCTTATACATATTACAAAATAGGACCATATGTTGGCAAAAATTTGCTTGAAGATATGAGATACTGAGCAATGAGGGTCATATTCCAGGTTGTCCTTGGATCATAGCACCTAAATTAGATAACATATTTCACATTTCTGTTATTTGTATTTACTCAGGATATGTATGATTTGGCTTGGTCCCCATCTTCGGTGCAAAAGTCAGAATGGATGCACATATGCCGCCAATGACAAATTCTTACCACAACTCGACGAAAGGGATGTGTTGAAAGGTGCATGAGGTATTAGTGCAGAATTTCACCAGTTGAGTCCCCCTCTTCAGCATGTGTGGATGCAACCAGGAGGGATGCAAACAGTTCAGAGAGGCCATCAAAATTCACATCCTGTATCAGGCAACAGCATACATCAGTGGCTGGGTGAATGCATTTATGTATCTGGTAAAATCAAAGATGCAACCTGGAGGGACGCAAACAGTTCAGAGAGGCCATCAAGGTTCACATCCAGATTCACATCCTGTATCAGGCAACAGTATACATCAGTGGCTGCGTGAATGCACTTATCTGGTAAAAACAAATGCTCTAGATCTTCTGGTTGGAAGCTATTGGTACATAAATTCCTTACAGCCCTTATTAGGAACATAGGTTGGAAAAAATCGTAGCACATGAGAAATCAAGTTGCACACACCAAATCGAAAGGTATAGAAAATAAAGCAATCGAACTGGACCTCAGACATGGAGGTCTACAACTATAAATCACTGGATGCACAGTGACATGGCTTGGGGATGGTCTTGTTGTACGTATGCATATATGCAGCTTGGATTAGGCACATCATGAGAGATAGGGAAAGAAAAAGGAACAGACAGATAGCGTTTGGTAGAGGATGCCAGAAAACATTACGAATGGAGGACACAAATCGCGTGGCCAGGGGCGTCGAGGCGGCGGCATCGCTGGGCGGGGCAGGCGCGGGCGCGTCCACCGAAGGGGCTTGCTCGTGCGGGTGCGGTGCGCCGCAGCCGCGGACACCGGCGGGGGTCGGCCGTAGCGCGCCGTGCCGGGAGGCGGTGGCCACCGGTGGTCCGCACAGCTGGGTGGCGCCGTCCCCGCGGACTGCAGCGCGCGGATGTGGCGGGCGCGCTTTGCGGCTCGTGCTGCGGCTAGGGTATTTTTGGTGGGCGTGGGCGGGGCCGGGAAAGGATAAGGCCGTGGCGGGAATCCATCGCACGGGGGTCGGATCGAACGGCTGGCGGTGGAGCACTGTGGATGACCAGTAAACTGAGTATGAGGAACGGTAGGTACTATTGAACTACAGTGGTCTTCGTGGCATGTTGTTTGAATTTATTAGTCGGCTTATTAACTACTCTACAGTATTTTTCTCTTACAATAAAATAGTTTTAGTCGGTTTATCAACCGACTTTAATACCAGCCGAACAGGCTCTAACGAGAGAGATCTTTATAGATAGATGTAGACGTAGATATGGATTCACTTCAGAGTTACTGATCTGTGCCTGCACAAAGTTAACGTCACTACGGGATTGCTGCTTGCGAGGGTGAGCTGTTGGGTAGTGTCGAGTAACCAGGGCCAATGCCCGGTGTCTGCTCTGCATACGATATCTCGAGCGTGAAACAAATCAATCTCTCTAGGATGAGCAAAATTCCTGCAGGCAACCTTTCCTTTCTTTAAAACGTTTCAAGCAGTGCTCTCTGCCCCTACGGACATCTGGGTCGGACGCGTGGTCATTTACTTTCAAACAAGTTCAAGTTGCAGGACCAACTGGACACTATCGCAAATATGTTAATCTGGTTCAGTTTTTCCTTTCCTTTTGCAGAACAGCGTTTAAAATGGAAATTGGGTAGTCGTCAGACACAGTACACAGAAAACATCATTACACAGGTGGCTGCTAAGACGGCGAGACACCATGCCTTTCACTCAGCACACCATCCTACCCCCTTTTCCCGGTAGACTTGCCGCTCCTACAGATCATAATAGACCCACTCCATTCCATTACCCGTTCACAAGTACATACATGCTACAACCCTAAAAGTGAGACAGACCCCCAATCAGCTGCGAGCGATGGCTGATGCTAAACCATGTTAACAGAAACAATACACATCTGTCTGGGAAAAGAGTGACCACGCACATACAACAAACCACACCTCTGGGTCCTCTATGGAACGAAGCATCCGTGCATCCATCACCTGTATCTTAACTTCGCATCAAGCTCATGCCCATACATCCCACTAGGTACGCGGCCTGCAGCCATTGCTGGGTGGTGCACCTGCTGTTGCTTCGATCTGGCTGACATCTCCATCTGGATCAACCTTTCAAATGCCTCTGGATGATTGCCTCTCACCTCTGGGCCTGATGGGCCTAAACAGTTATTGTAGCAAAAAAAAAAAACTTAACAGATTAGTAAATAGCATGTCTAAAATTGCAGAAATTAAGAGAAAACACCACAATAAAAAGTTGAATGTATCAAACACAAGGGTAAGTTCAAACAAAAATCTTAGTCTCATTGACAGTAAGTTAAGATACAGATGGTGTTATGGAGATGTCAGCCAACTCCAAACGAAATTCTTAATGTCTAAAATAAGCAGAATGGTATCATGGAAACCAAACTGTGCTGTCTAACTTCAATTAGGAGAATTGCGAGTCAATGTGAACTAGTAAAGTTTTCTGCGCTGTGATCAGGGATATCAGATATGTGGCACGTCTGAACTTGCAAATAATGACAAGTAATATCTGCTAGTAAATAAAACATATAAATTAGGACAATTGAGACTCACCTGGCATCATCAATCCAAATTCTCCATAGTTGGGCTGGCGAGGGTGCATATGGAAATTATTTACATTGCCCATCTCAGGTCTATAACCAGCCATGTGATGCACAGGCTGAGATGGCGGGACACCTCTTGGCAAGCCTTCTGGAGGAAATCTTCCAGGCATGGACATGTGTTGTAGCATAATATGTGCATTCGGTCCAAGTGAGGGACCCCTGGCCCATGAAGATTATGTTGCATAGGATTCACATTAGATGGGAAAGAACGGTGAGAATCATGGTGTATCGACTGTGGCATATCAAATGGAGCTGGCTGTTTCCTATTAACAATGTGATCCATCATAGGGCGAGGTGCCATCATAGGAGGCCTACCCTGTAGAAGATGATACAGATTCTGAGAATCAACCTGATAACGCTGGTCACGAGGATGAGATCCGAGTGCATCAGGACCAAGTACTTGAATGTGTTCTGCATCGCCAGGCACAAGACTTTGAAACCTATAACTGAGGTCATCAAGTGCCTTTACAGGCAATAGCCCTTCAACCCTGCTGGATCCTACTGATGCCAAAATATCAGAATTTTGACCAGGCAGAGAGTCACTCATGGTAAACAAATTATCTTCTTCAGGCAGATGAATTTCCATTCCTTTCTTGTCAAAACTAGCACTCCCCTGAATTAGACCAGGTACTGCTGAATGCTCGATACCTGGTTCTCGAGGGACAGCAGCATCTTTAGTATTGTTGAAGTGTAGGGTCTGTTCAACAGGGTAGTATCCTTCATGGCTAGATGACAATAGAGTTTTACCCGTCTCTGCAAACTCAGTAGGACCACCAGTTGTGGATCCTCGAAAAGAAACTGGTGCATCTTTTGAGTGGAGCTCATTCATAAATGCAGCCCCGAATAACGCTTCCAATGTCAAGTTCTTCCCAGAAGTAGGAACGTTGTCAACACTGTTAACTGGATCACTTCCAGATATTCCACCATTGGCCATTAAATTTGTGCCAACACTCTGAGGTTCATCAGTTGATCCTCTCTGGAAACCCAGCAAAGGTGCTCCCTTATTATCTGTTCCTTTTTGCAACAATGAAAGAAGATGCTGTGATGCATGATTATCTACAGCTACTTTCTGCATGGCAACTGGCTCATCCATAACAGTCAGTTGCTCCTTTGTAGCATTTATCTGAGTTGAGCTGCTATTGCTAACCTGTGCTAACATTGTCTGCTCAAGATCCTCACATGTCATCATAACAGGAACTGCCTCTGGAATATCAGGATGGATGTATTGTTCAAGAATTCCATCGGCAGGCGTAGGGGATGTAAATGAGGTAAGCTTCGATGCAGAATCAAGTTTATCAATAGGTCCTCTTGGCGATAAATTCTGGACAGCAGCATCAGATAAAGGAGCATGGATTATATTTTCTGGACCTGGATTTTCATTTTTGACAATCATGGAGAGCAGGCTCTTTGAAGATAAGTCTTCTGCAGGTTTCAAGTCTGCAGGAAATAGAAGGTATGAAATCAGTAAGAGAACAGACAACCAAATGGAAGCTGTGAAGCAACGAGGGACATGTCCTCAAATTTTATTTTTGTTTGTAAGTTCTTGTGGCATGATGACCAAACAAAACGGAAACGCCAACACTAGTCGATAACCAGGTGTTGGGCATAATGGGATCAGATAGTAAAATTTATGAAACGGTATTACCTTCATCAAGAAACCAGCGAGCAAATTTGGATGATTCTGGCACAGAAGAAGCAATCATGTCATCATCAGTTTTCAATGGCTGGTTCTGCATAACATGTAAAAGAAATAATAAGCATATGACCCATGTAACTCTAATTCAAATTCAATTCCGGACTAAATTGGAGATTCCTTCTTTTCTGATATTTCAATGTCAAACAAAATTGGGGTTTTCTTCTATTCAGATCACCCTACCACTACATGGCAAAAACTAGAGAACAAAAATAGTCATTTCTAAATTGTAACCCAGCACATGCTATTAAAGTCTAACAGATTATAATGTGCATACAAGGCCATCTGAACTAGTAAATCAATAATGTAGAAAGCTATCACATCAACACACAGGACAACAAAGATGGATGCTTTAAATAAAATTATCAACTTTCAACTCTCGTCCTTTCTTATAAACGAGAATCATTGAATTAGAGAAGTAAAACAATTAAAATCCCAGGCCTAACTGTATTTTAGTTAAATGAACTGTGCAACAAAATCAGATAAAATTGTGAAGGTATAAGTTCACATCACATTAGTAGTCAATAGATCTGGTTGGACAATGTTCATATTATATACTCCCTCTATTCCAAATTATAAGACATTTTGGCTTTTCTAGATACATAGCTTTTGCTATGCAATTAGATATACCCTATGTCTAGATACGTAATAAAAGGAATGTATCTAGAAATACCAAAACGTCTTATAATTTGGAATGAAGGGAGTAGCTTATATAACATGGAACCATAAACATAGATGGCTTCTGCACAGTTAGGAAACTAAGAGCAAGCAGGACCAAAAAAGGATTTCTTGTTGTACCTCAACATAAGTAGGTAGGTTACTGCCGCTTTTCGATAAAACATTGCCAAAGAACTGTTCTAAGATTGATACTGAATCATCCTTCCTAACTGGATCAGTATTTTTAGATTTGCCTTCTTTTCCAATAGAATACTTATCCATTACATCAGCTTCCCAATCCTCGCTCCCTTTCAGAATGCTAGAAGGCAATTCAGCTGAAGAGGTAACACCACCAGCTGGAAGCGTGTGCTTTGGACCCATAATAGCAACGTTATTGGAAATTCCCTTCTCTTTACTTTCAGATGTGAACTCTGTTGCTAACTGGTCACCCTCTAGCTGACCACCAAGCCGTGCAACAGTCAACATGTTAGCCTCAGTAGTAGCATTATGACACTACAAAGTAGAAACATATTAAGTAACACTACAACATTGGTGGGGCTATCCCTCTTTTGCTAAGGAAATGATTCTATCAGATCAGAGAAGAACTGAAGGTTCTATCTTCAATGAACACAACAATTTCTGAAAAAAAGGTATCAACGACTGCAAGGTAGGAGATTTTGTGTGTAATTGCTGGCATTCTATTAGCTATTGAAACGACATGTAGATACACACCTTCGGCTCATGTGCGATGTTAGACGACTGTGGCTGAAGCTTCTTGTCCGCAAATGCAGTTGCAAAACCCGGCGGGACAAGCGGCCTGGCTGCAGGAGCTAGTAGAACTGAAGATGGTTTAGTGGTATCTTCCTGATACAAGGATACTGCAGAACCATCTAACCTCTCATTTTTAGTTTTGGCATTTGCCTTTGCAGTAGATGTCTGTAACTGTGAAATGATATCATCACTGGGATTCTCCTTCAGGATATCAGGACCATTCTTCTTTCCTTGCATTGCTTTGTGTTGCTCTTTTCTCATCAACTCAAAAGATGCTGCATATAGGGCAATGTGAGAAAGCATAGATGATTGCAGTGGGGAAAGAAAAGGATGTTTTATGTTGCAGTGAGAAAATCTGACCCCTCCGCTTCCTTTCTTCTTCTGCTCTATCCTCATTTGATAATTCAGAAGACCCAAATGTCTCATCATTCATTGAGTCAATGTCTTTCCGCGAAAAAGGAGCAGCCTGTCATTAATGTGAGAGGTACTTATGAAAATTTCAAAGATTGTCAATCACTAAGATGATGAAAGGAAGGCAGGGTACATGCATGCAGGCACCAACCTTGTAAGGACGTGGTGGCTGGTAGCGTTCCGATGTCCTGTTTAGCTGAGGCGCATTGCCGTGATCCTTTGATGACAACTGCCCAGCATATCCTGATGGCCTAGGGAAACCGCCACTTCCCAGTAGGCCATCATGCTCCGTGTTCTGCCAATTGCGTCTGTACTGGTTTCCACCACGCCCTGCTGCATGGCACCATTAGTAACGTAAAATAAGCAGTCCACTTTCCTAATCTGCCCATAAACAGGATGGACAGCAGGAAGTAAATGTGCATGATTTATTAACAATATGACCATGCAGATGATTGTTCTCCAACTCCCTCGGTTTACTATTGGTGAAGTCAATGCACTCATGTCATGTACTTGTGTAGACTAGAAAGCTTCTGAAAGTCAAGTCCACAATACAATGAATACCATCTAGGCAAAAATGGTCACAGAGAACCAATTAAACTAATAAATCGTAGATTGCCAACTTTAAGAACGTAAAGACTAATGCAAAACGTTGCACAAACTGAAGAGTAAATTTACCCTGTGTCTGAGACTCGCGATCAGGTAACTCCCCATCCCGATCGCTTGATCCAGATGAGCGAGTGTCCCACCTCCCTCCAGTGTTCCCACCACGAGAAGAGTAAGTATATCCCCCCGACCCGTCTGGCCGTCCCTGGGATGTATTGTAGTAGCCCTTGTTTCTCTCAAGCACGCCCGCTGACAGCTCCTGCAGCTCACTGTTGGAGAAGCAACAGCAAAGATCGTCAAACAGAAATCCCACTTGGCCACACTGGGCAAAAGGCCTAACCAACAGAAAGCAAGGCAAAGTGACCTAAGAAGCGCTGTATCAAAGCCAGGGGGCAGCTTCTTGCAATGCTCCAACTCGCCAAACGACAGCAGAAAATCTCTCGAGTACACTATCCTCGTCTTCATCCTGCCATGGATACACAGGGCGGACCCAGTAAAGGACATGGGTGTACGCATGTACACCCGATAATTTTCGCAAGAAAAAAATCGAAATCAGTAGACATAATACACGTGTACGCTTGTAATTAGATCAGATCTGGGTACAGATAGGCAGATAGCTTGACTTAGGGTTTGGGTGCTCGATTTCGCAGAGCAGGACGGGCAGAGATGGGGTGGGCATACCTGGTGGGTGCCCGTCGCCGGCGAAGGACCCGACGAGGAGCCGCACCTGGCTAGGGCGGCTGCGGGCGCCGCCCAGTCGTCGCCACGGGAGAGAGAGCGCGAGCGAACGCGGGGTGAAAGGGAAGAGAAAAAGGAAGGGGCGAACGCACTGCGGGGCAGTTTGGTTCAGGTCGAATGAGCAGGCGGCAGGCCTCGATCCGATGGGGGGGATGGGCGATGCTGCTCGGTGCTTGCAGGCTTGCGGTTGCGGGTGTCTAGCCCAGGCGTCAAAACAGATTGTCTGTGACTATACTTTGAGCGCGTGTTTAGTTCGTACCCAATTCCCAAAAAATGCTACAGTAGTCATCATATCAAATCTTACGATACGTATATGGAGCATTAAATATAGACGAAAAAAAAACTAATTACACAGTTTGGTTGAAAATTGCGAGACGAACGTTTTGAGCTTAATTAGTCCATGATTGAACATTATTTACCAAATAAAAACGAAAGTGTTACAGTAACCAAATTTACAATTCTCACCCAACTAAACACACGCTGAGCCTATTGCCTATGTTCTTTGTAATTAATGATGATAACGACGATACGGAGCCTCAGTGTTGTCTATAAACTATTCTTTAATGATGAAATTTAAGTTGTGATCTTGTCTCGTGTTCTATTTTCTAATGAAATTTTTCAGCGATGTTTTTTTCTTGAATTTAATACGTGCCAGTATTTCTTATTAAAAAGACACCTTTTGCTCTATAGAACGTAATTAAACAAGAAAAATCTAAGCGAAACATGTTGTGTTGGTTAACAAGTTATAGCATTCCGTAAATCTGTACAGCACTCGAGTGTTTCTCTTCATCTCAACACTCGATTTCTCTCCCTCTCATTCTTCTCCATCTCCGCCATCTTCCCCCTCTTCTTCTCCAACTCCGGCAGGTTAGAAGAAGCTCAGGGGAGGTAGGCTGGCCAGAAGGTAGGGACAGTGGGAGGGTGGCTTAGGGTTTCGACGACGGAAGAGGCGGCCGAGCTAAGTCGGGGCTGCGGCGAGAGGGAGGAGGGGAAGAAGGAGGCCGCCGCGGGTGCAGTAGGGTCTCGCCGGAGCTCTACGACTACGGAGCTCCGGCGAGCCCCTACCACGCCGTGTTGAGGCAATGGGCATTGGACGGCGGCGATGAGTCGGGAGGAGGAAGAAGACAATGAAGAAGAAGAAAAATCTGAGTGTTTGGACACTCGAGCGCGGCATAGACAGACTCGTAGCATTTCACATAGAAACATATTAATATATTGTCTTTTTTATCGCACTTCTCCATAGTTGCTTAACCCAGAAAAAACATAGGAGTACGGAAGGAGGAGAAGAAGAAGATGGGAGACACCTCCGTATGGCTCGCTGAAACTAAATGTGGACGGGGCTTTCAGGGACTTTAATAAAAATGGTGGCGGGGGGCTATGTCATCCAATGACGAAAGCGGAGGAGTGATTCAATTAAGGTTTGGAAGGGCACCGTTTGCGATCAATCCGATGCATATGGAGCTTACTGCATGTATTGAAGGGGTGAAGGCAGCGATATCTTGGCGTCAATAACATCATCCTGGAGACCGCATGCACAGTAGGTGGTGTGGGCGGTTCAGGGTGATGATTTTAGACTCGCAGTGGTGCACGTGAATGTAATAGGGTAGCCCATGAACTAGCTTCTATAGGGAGTAGAAGCAATGACTTAACGCCCCTAGTATTGGCCGATGTGCCAAATTGTATCTTGTTTCTGGTGTCAGGCAATTTAGTCGACATGATTGAGTAATGGAATGCGAATTCCTATCAAGAAAAAAGAAAAAAACAATGATGGTAGCACTTCTCCATATAGTTACGAAAACAATGCGGTGTCTTGGTGGCTTTGGATAAAGGTCGAAATGAAGCTGCTTTTGTCGCTTTTGGGCCAAAGCTAGGCAACGATGACGCATGGTAGACTTAGTGTGTGTGTTTGTCACTAAATACTAGTGACTCGGCCGTTGTGCGGGTGTGTCATGGCTTTGTATGAACTTCTTAATTGAGCGGTTGCGCTCCTGTCTCTTTTCAAAAAAAAAAAACAATGAGCTTTTTCAGGTAGCTTACAAGTTACAACAGATTCATTTTGTCATGTATGTTGACTAGAACTCCAACCAAAAAAAAACATAAATGGTAAGGAGTTGTCTTGATTTTATGAACTAATTTGTAAACGAACAACTGTCTATGACATTGTAACTAGGAGCTACAACTTGTGACAGACCATTTGAATCTAGTAACAAGACACTATAACCTTTTAGAAAGTTGTGATGAACAACATGTGGATGCACTTTGTCATCCATGCGAGATGACCATGCTCTATTTTGCTGACATTATTTGAATGACAGATAGGCCCAAAAATTCTCTTACTCCAAATACGGATTATGCAGTATAATTAATTCCTCATGCCTTCCTAGTAAATTGGGGAAAAAAACATGCGACTAGTAGTAGGAATTGATTCTATAGATCTGGACATCCCTCTATATCAGTCTCCTCTAGGCATGCCTCGTTATTTATTTATATATGGTCATGTGGTGTTGAAGGATTGCTATGAACGAGAAGAAGCAATTGGGCATGGGAACGGGTAGCATGCTGCCATGCTGGTCAAAGGATCGAGATGTCACTAGAGGGGGTGAATAGACGTTCCTTAAAAATTTAAGTACAAACTAGCAACAGATTAGTTAGAAACAGATAATCAGATTATCCTCTTTTTACGGAAATTTGAGCAAATTGTCCGCACTTTTATTGATATTCAACAAAGTTTCATTTTTCGCAAATATTTGAGTGGGTTATTGCACCTTTGAGGATATTCAACGAGAGTTCGGATGCATTTCAATTATGGGCATGGAGAGGTAGCAACGCTTGTGGATTATTTGAGTGGACGCACTTCAATTATGGCCATGAAGAGGTAGCAACAACTCCTAAAAAAGAGTTCGGTGGTGAAAGTATCTAAACCTCTAATTCATGTGTTCATAATTAATGACAATGCTTGTGGGCTAATATTTTCATTGAGACGTGAAATTAAGGATTAGTCCACTAGGAGAGTTAAGCTACTTTGGATATCATGGCTCGTGTGATCGGAAAGCATGATGGATAGCTTAAGGCAAAAGATACAAAGGTAGGTTTTTGCTTTAACCAGTGATGATGCGATTAGAGGATGCAAATGACTAGATTGACAGGCTACATAGCCGTAATATCATGAGGGGTCAATGTTTTTTACTTGGCGGATCTTTAAAGCCACATTGCTTGATAATTGCATTGCATGCATAAAACGAATGGCGTTTGAAGAAATATGGAAATAAAAAATTGAAAAATTTGTTTAAAAAGGATAACTATGCGGGAAGTAAGGATTGTACAAGGCAAACATTCATTTACCTTAGCCGTTTTTCAAAAATGGATTTTGGACTACTTTTTAATGTATGTTGTGGACGATCCCACCTTGGGACGTGGATGGTCTACATGTATACAAAAAAAAGGTCCGGGCCCGATCCGAGCCTAGTCCAAAATGATGGGTCTAAGGCATAAAACCTAGGCCCAAATCCAACCGTTTTTTTAGCCTGGCTCGACTAACTTTTGCTCATGTCTATTGGAGACTATTAGATACTTCTTTTGTTGCTCTTCGATAAACAATAGACCTGATCATAGATTACCTGACTTGACCCATCCGAGATAAAAGAACTTTCACCCAGCAAAAGTTTGAGGTCGGATTTCGACCGAATTTTTAACCCACGGCCAGGCCCACCAAGAAATAAACAAGCAGACCCACTCCACCCTGAACATACTACTCCCTCCGTCCCTAAATAACTGTTGTTCTCGCTCGTCGAGAAATAACTTTGACTAATTTTATATTAAAAATATTAATATTTATAGTACATAATTGATACCATTAGATAGATCGTTGAGTTTATTTTTATAATAAATTTATTTGGAGATACAAATGTTGTACACATTTTGTATAAATCTAGTCAAACTCACGATACGAAACCCCAAAACGACAGTTATTTAGGGATGGAGTGAGTACTTGGCAATCGTTTGGAACTAATTCTACAACAGAAACTATATCTGGAGCAGGAGAATGAGGGAGAGCTTTGCTAAACAGACCTTGAGTATTTGTGTTTACCATGTTAGTTATCAAAGATTATTGGCAAAGATAAATTTGTCCTGTTCGCTTCTCTTATAATCCGTTTTTTTTCAGCTTGTTTTTTCAGCCAGAACAGTGTTTTTCTCTCCCAACAAATCAGCCGGAACAGTGTTTTGGCTTGTTTTTCAGCGAAGCGAACGGGGCCATTGTTGACTCATTTATGTAAAATTTGTCCAGTATTTCAAAATAAATTGATTCATAGTACATAGACTAGTAAATGGCTCAAATTTTTGCTTTCCTCAAAGAATAGCTTGAGCAAATTCCTTCCTGAAGACTTCCTTGCATCGGGATCGGCCAGATGGGCCAACACATAGTGATTAAGATTTCCATGAAAAAGGAAAGATGCAGCTGATCTTTGAGAGATGCCAAGGTGACAACTGACAAACAGGTCAGTGTGCTGGTGAATTGTGAGGCCTGAGGTGCTCCAACAAGCAATCACAAAAAGGAGAGGCCAAAAACAGATGCACTAGACTTTCTTCAGTCCCCAATTGCAGAGAATACAGTTATAGTCATCGAGGACCATATTCCTCTACTTCAATAGCTCTCCGGTACTTAACCGATCATCTAGAAGTAGCCAAAAGAAGACCTTACATTTGTTGTGACATGACAACCACCACAACCAGGAGTATGCTCGAGGAACAGGACGATAGCCAATCAGCTGTAAGGTCTTCTCCGCTGTACGCGGTTGTTTTGGCAAAAAAGCAGAGTTGATTATTTTGGGGCATTCTGGTTCCAACTCTATTTCTTCTTAAATGACCATCAAATGACAATAACTTCAATTGATGACTCAAAACATCAGCAGTTAAAACATCTAAATATCACTAATCTACTGTTGGGGTGATAGACTGATAGTATGGCAGGAAATTCTGCAGGGATTCAGTGACTATCTGCAAATAAATAAATAATGAACTGTTATTTGCTCCCACGTCACTGTTCCAAATCAAAAGCCCAAACGGATATGCCAACACCTTGGCCAGTACTTCCCATCTCGATCCGAACACAATCAGCAGGCACTGGACCGTTGTACATGCCATTCTGCATTGGACCAGCCTCTATATCAGCGGCACTTCCATTGCCTTCCTTGGAATCTTGGTAATTGTTATCCCTGATTTCATGTAGATGTTGATCGGGTACAGAGCCATCTCCCCTGTCATTTTGTAGCTCAACGGACTCACCAAGACATACACTTCCAGCGTATCCATCAGCATTTTGCAATTCAGAACCTTTAGATCTTTTGTACTTTGCATAGGCCAATCTGACAATGGTTATGAGCAGCATGAGAGCTGAGATACATCCAGTGATAATGAAGAGACCAGAGAAACTTTGCAAAGTGAGTGCCGTGAAACCACTGATCGCACTGTCACCCACAGATGGTGCAGCTGGACCAAGCCATCTCTCTTCAATTTGTGGGCCCTCATAATCTCCTGTTAGGCTCAAGATGGCGATCGAGAGATTATGTACCAGTGGAGAGCTCAGGGGAAATGCCTGAAGACAAAACGTGGTGTTAGTTTGGTTACTCAGCATTAGAAGCATGGCTCTTAGAATATCGAATATACCAAAGCACTAATGCAAGCAACTTACAAAACCAAGCCCAAGGGTCCTGTACATGCGATTAACCATCTGGAATTCTTTCTTGTATTGAGGGTTGGAGAGGAAATAAGTCAAATAGGGAATCTCATCAAGAATAGCCGATACCCCTCCATTCTTAGACCCCTTCCTCAGAGCTTCAGCATATTCTTCTTGATTGCTGTAGGCCTTTATCCTATTCAATGGAAAACCTTGCTTTATCAAAAAGGAGCGAGTAAATCCTCCATACTGGTATCCAACATAGTCACCATTGTGTAACAGCTGATTGAGATCAGTCACCATTGGCCGGAGCCTCTTTGCAGTTAGCATTGATGACAAGTTTGCGGTGTAGCTCTGCACTACAACCAGCACCGCAAAGCACCATATCACAACGACAATTTTTGACAGAGGGCTTCTAATTATTTGATCTGTACAAACAGAGAGGCATTATTTGAGATCATCCTACAACTATGATAACTAGCTATTAAACCACTTATAAACCATCGTATATTGACATGTTGTAAAGAAGTTTGAGCTCAAAGTGCTGACCATGGGAGAACGTCAAAGTGGAGAAAGCAAAGTAGGAAGCAGTGCTGAATTGTCTCAGTCTTGACCCTTGGTACTCAGGATTCTTGGGCAGTTCAATCATCCACACAACAAAGCCAGTGAACAAGAAGCCGCCCACAGTAGCGAACCAAAGTTCCTTTGTTAGGGGCTCTAAAAATATCCACTGGATTGTTTTGGAGTCATTCTCGGAGAGCATAAGAAAGGACAAACCAGACTGTGCATATGGCATTGTAAAATCCGCCTCCCTGATTCGTTCAGGGGTTATGGTCACATCACCAACTGCTGCATCAAACACCTGTTTATTCCACAGGAAATGAACAGAAGAAACAAAAACAAATGCACTAAGAAATTTAAACATTGTAAATCCAGCCTTGTAAAATGATGCGAACTAAGCATGTTGAAGTAAGGCCCACCTTTAGAGATACACTGCGTACTAGCTCATCATAAGAACCACTGAAGGCATAGAACTCATATTGTGGACTAGGCTGTAGCATCTCCATAGCAGCTTTGAAGATATCAATGCTGTATCCAGTGACCTTTTGTCTCTCAGTGTTAGGATGAGTAATATTCACAAAAGCTTTGAAACCAGGTTTATGCGGCACAGCAATCCTGAGTTTCTTCTCACAGCCTCTGGACGCCGTCCCTGAGTTTTTTCTCGCTAATTCTCTGCCATGTGTTCCCTCTGTATATGGATTAAGGAAAGGTTTGGATCATCTTAATGTAACAGCACAATCTTCTCATGGCCTATTGAGAAAATGAAGAAAATGGCATGGCTTTAAAATAATTCTGCCACTAATGACCAACATGTGACTATTATTTGGAATATTGGTAATGTGGAATTGCACTTAATACTACAATGGGCGATTGGACGGAAGACCATCTCACTAATATTCAACACTGTCCCAACCATTAAGATTCAACGATTCAACATTGTCCCAACCAAGTCCTGGAGAAGTGAACGTGGAAAATCAAAGCACTCCCTATGTATTGGACAATTCTTTTTCTTTACCATTATAATGCATCAATTTTGACTTCAGATTGCCATTTAACATTTCAATTCCATGCTCAATCATGTGGGAAAATTAAGATAAACAGTTGATTGGCTTTGTCTTTGACATCATCCCTACCGCCCATCTAAGGTCAGGCGCATCAAAACCATGGGGCTCCCAGGTGAAAAAAAGAAGAAAGGTAGAGCCAATTTACAAACTTCGCCTCTTTCACTCCCCCTGCAGTTGAATACTTTTTACCCACACCAAAAATTGAGCCTGTTGCATCATACTTACAGTTGGTATCAGGAATGTCTAGTTTTATAATACAATTTGTTTCCCGTTAACAGTGTGTACCACTTTCTGATGCATTAAGAACAAAAATTCGAAGTGGCCAACAAATTACTAAGACCTAACCTTAACCAGCGTACAATTGAAAGGCCACGCTTTGAGCCCTTGAACAGAACAGAACAGCAAATGCAGATATCCTTCTCGGCTTCTGATGATAAGGCAAACGAAATGGTTACTCCCAAAACCGACCTCAGAGGCCCCATATTCAGAATAGAACATTCATTTCGTCGGGTGGATAAAGCGAGACAGAACAGCAACCCTGTCAGACCAGTTGGGACTTGGGACTAGGTGGTGGAGGTGGAGGTGGCGCCATCCCTGCGGGGGCGGCCGGGGCACTAGGTGAGCTCCTATTCCGGGATTGCGCCTCTGCACGGGGGAACGGGAGCCGCCAGTTGCGGAACGGGGACGGGGGCCCCTACACCTCCCGCTCCTCTTCCACGTAGAGCGGAGCGGCGCCGTGCGAAGTGCGACAGGATCGCCTCGAGGAGCGGCCGAGCGAACCATGGGCTCCGGCCTCCGGCTCCAGCTCCAGTGACGAGAACTGGAACTTTGGAGGAAAGGAGGGTGTGAACTGTTGACTGAGTCTTTTCTCTAGTCTAGCTAATATAATTTTCTATTTCTCTGCGTGGTTGCGTTATCGTCCCTCCTCTGTTCATAAAATTTTGGCTTGAGTCAAAAACAATTTTAAATTTAGCTGAACTTATTAAAAAATGCTAATATTTATGTTAACCCAATAAAAATCGTTTTTTTAAAGAGTCGTGGAAATGAAAAACCGCTCGTAGGGTACGCAAATTTTTTAATGCTTTTCATTTGGAAATTCGTTGCAACGTAAAAGTACTTTGAGAACGTAAGGTAGATACGATTTTTTTGAGACCCACGCAGACACTCACGTACACGGGCGTACACTCACTCTAAAAAACTGAGTTGGACTGACAAATTTCGAGATTGACAAAGTCATCACAGACATCTCGCTGTCGACGAGCACGTCGTCTACCACTGAAAGAATAGCACCATTAAATTCTGAAATAAATCCAGGAAAATACGAGCACCCGTGTGTCAGGTTAAATCCTGGAATAAATCCAGAAAAATACGAACACCCGTGTCAGGTCAGGGACTTGAACCCAGGTGGACAGGTTCCATCGCAAGAAACTTAAACAGCTGAGCTAAGTTCGCAAGGTAAATACGATTATACGAACAAATCTAAGATAAATAATAATAAACATAAGCTCTTTGGTAAGAAATTCGCTACCAATCCGATCTTTTTCAATCAAAATAGTACAACCATAGGCATGGATCCGAGATACCCCACGTACGAGTAGGATAGGACACGAGTGAGGTGGAAGGCAATTCTTACCAGCATGTGGTGCGGTTGCTTGGGTGACGACATCATCATCTCCGCTTGCACCACCGATACGGTGCGGGTCCGTGTGCACGCCCACGACGCCGCCGGTTCCCGGCGGCGCCGCCGCCTCCGCCAACACGTCCGGATGCGCGACTGCGAGCAGGATGAGCAGAGCGACGGTGAGCCGGCAGCGCCGCGCCCACCACTCCATTCCTTGCATGGTCACGCGTATCGTGCTGCCACCTCAAGTCCTGAACGCTGCAGGCCTGCAACCTACGCAGCTGCTGCCCCAGTATATACCTGCCACAGAGGTGGACAGTTGTTCCCTGTAAAATCCAAGAGTGCGGGCGCAGCGAGTCAGAAGGCCCGTTTCGTCAAAGTTTCGCGAGGCGCTGAGGAAGTGACGAGAGGCCGTTCACCACTCATCAGTCGTGGGTGCCATCACTTTCAGGCCTCGACGTCGATCTCATCGAGGAGGCATTCCATTCCACGGACCACGGCGGCATCAGTGTCTGTCAATTCCATTCCACCTATACGTGCATGACCCCGTCATCCATGCCGCGTTCGGAACCACGACGATTTCGCAGGGCTCGAATTTCGAGAGAATGAAGTAAGGAAAGTTCTCCACGTGGGAAACTAAGGGCTTAGGGTTCCATATCATGCCCTCGATCAATTGACTTTGAAAGATTATTTCCCAGAACGCTTGGTCAGTCAGTCAGTGCCTCCGTGGTCACTGGTCAGTGGTCAGGCAGGCAATCAGTCTTCTGCAGTTCTGCTGCAGCTGCAGGTTTTGTTCAGGAACCAAGTCTTTGAGCAGAGCCTGCATGCATGAGACTTGGAGGTAGCATGCGAGATGCAGGGAGATGTCTGCACTCTCTGCTCCCAGTGCACAAGTATACTCGCACAAGAGATTGTGAGATGTGGAGGCCGTGGCTTCAGATGACCGATTCAAGCTACCTACATCAGTCATCTGTAGACCTAAGTTTTCAGTCAGAGCTATATATGCCAATACACTGGCTACTTGTTCAATGTGTGCAGGTCCACAGACTTGAATTCAGTCTTCTAAATCTTCGTTGCCACAAGTATATATATTTTTATTTATTTTTAGGAAAGTTGCCACAAGTATATTTGAAACGGCTAGCAATTCGACTTCTAGAGACAGAAGACGAGTATATCTATCTAGGAAACCAGGCACAAGTTCCACGAAATTTTATACCACGGCAAGGTCAAAAATAATGTTCATTAATTAAATCAGGTAACTGTCTGATACAAGGAGCATCGAGCAATTCAGAGTTGTGTGATATCAAAATGCCCAGCAGTCCAGTAATAACATCAAGTAGTTCTAAAAAGAATAACATCAACTCAAAGTTGATCACAATGTAGTTTCAGCAAACCTAAAAAACAAACATAAGCACTGCGTATTCAAAGCTCCCATACTCCCCTAGAATTTACCACTACTTATGCAAACACAAGCAACACCATCCCAGCAAGGTGAAATGTGCTGAACAATATCATCCTCTGTTTTCAGATTTCTTTTGCAGCTGGAGCCTAAGGGGCAAACCTTGAGGAACCAACCTGATGAGAACAATCTAGTTGGTCCCCCTCTCAACCTGAAGAGGCTCAGGAAGGGCAGCGTCATTGTTCTGCAACTGCTGTCCCTGCTGTGAGTCGTCATTGTCAGTAGCAATTTCTCTACTGCTATGAACCCAGTGTAGACTACAGTTTCTCGGCTCAGTGCAATTGGTATGCATGAAGTTTATTACCAGCATGGCACATAGGGTGAGTCCATTGACAATGAAGAGACCTTTGAAGCTCTCTAAACCTAGACGTACGGAATCAGTATCGGGATTGTCATAATCATGGGAAGGAGCTGTATCCCGAAACCATTTCTTTTGAATCTGAAATCCTTCACACCCCTCAGTTATGTTCAAGATGGCCCTTGACAGATCGGGCACCAACGGGGAGCCTCTAGGGAAAACCTGCAGAATATAAAATTGATGGTCAGGTGAGCATGGCATGAAGATTGTATGGTCTATGGCACAGTTGCAGGGAGCTTACAAAACCAAATCCATCAGTCCTGTCGATGGGGCCAACTATTTGGAACTCTTTTCCGTACTGTGTGAGGAAAGAATTTATATAGGGGATCTCATCAAAGATGGCTGACACCCCTCCATGCTTTGATCCCGTCCTCAATGCTTTCGCATATTCCTCAAGTGTGCTCAGGACCTTTATCTTTTGCGCATCAAACTTGAGTCTCTTAAGCGTCGCATACACAAATGATCCATTCTGGTACCCAACATAATCTCCATTGCGCAAGAGTTGCATCGGATCAGTCACCGAAGGTTGGAGCCTCTTTGCAGTAAGCAAGGATGACAAGCTTGCTGTATAGCTCTGCACCAATACAAGCACCACAAAGCACCAAATCACCACCACAACTTTTGAATGAAGTTTCTTGAGAATTTGATCTGTCACAAAGTAAATAAAAAATGTATTATTAAGAATTCAAGCATGAAACAAAAAAATTACAACTTTGAGTTCAAAATATTACAAAGACAAATGCAGTTCAGAGTGCTATGCAAAACAAGGATACCATGAGAAAAGGTCAAAGTGGAGAAAGTAAAGTAGAATGCTGTGCTGAACTGTTTCCATCTTGATCCATTGAATTTATCATTTGTAGGATGTTCAATCGTCCACACAACAAGACCGGTGAAGAAGATAAATACCATAGTGGCAATCCAGAGCTCCTTTGTTAGAGGCTCTAAGAAGATCCACATGGTTGCTTTACCATCATTCTTAGCTAAGACAAGCATTGCGACACCAGACTCTGTATATGGCATCGTGAAGTCGACATATCTAGATCGATTGGCAATAATTGTCACGTCACCCACTGCTGCATCAAACTTCTGTCATCCAATAAGGAAAAACAAGGGGAGGAATTAGGAATGTAAGTATCATTGGGCAGGGAAAAATATGTGATAGCAATTTAGCAAGGAAAGGCTAACCTTGAAGTACACCTGGGATATCAACTGGTCATAAGAATTGGCACAATCATAGGGAATGTACTCATAGCGCAGAGCATATGGAAGTCTATTCACAGCAGCCTCGAAGACATCAATGCTGTAACCACTAACACTTGATCCGTTGGTATTATGATTAGCCTCAACATTCACAAAAAATTTGAACTCACGTCTCACAGGTACGCCAATCCTGAGTATCTTTGCATTTACTGGGAAGTCCCAACCTTTAGGCACTATGGTTGAATCTCCTGGCCAAATGACAGGTTTTAGAACTTCACCAGCGCTTGAAGATTTAACCTGGTCTCCGACAGGGCTCGACTCTAAAAGCCTCGACAGCCCTGAACCAGGGCTCCAAAATCCAATGCCTCTTGCTTTTTCTCCTACCAAATTAACAACCTCATAAATGGGAACCTGCGTATGCCCATCAACGAACCTGAATCTCCCAGCCAAACCATTAAAGTTTGCTTCCAAAATGGAACTAAGGAGTTCTGGCCCAACAGGAGAGGCCAGGAGACCATTTACTAAGTTCTTGCCCACATCCTGTGGTGTCTGAAAACCTATATTTGAGAACCCAACCCTCTTAGTGTCCTCAACTGCAGTTGCAACTGCCCATGCCACATCATACGCCCAGTATTGGTAGACAGTGGGTCTTGTAGTCCTTACATCATGAGCCTGTCGGTACTTAGCTCTGAATAGTGCATCAAATCGACTCACAAAATCAATAATCCCTGCAGACTTTGCCACATATGGCCGAAAACTGACAATACCCTGCATGTTTTCAATAGTATGTTGGGGAAGTACATCAAGGACGACACCAACATTGTCCGTGACAATCCACACATATCCCTCTATCATCATACCAGCTGCTGAAGCCCGTGCAAAGAAATGGGAAGCAGGGCCTGGCAACATATGAACGATGAAGACACGTGTCTGCATGGTCATGAGCTTGTATAGTTCCTCATCAATGCGATAATCAGGGCAAGAAGCGGGGATGGCTGCACGGTAAACGATATGTGCCTCAACATCTTGAAGTGCATTAGCAATTGAGGGGAGAATACCCACACCATAGTTGTCGTCTTCATAGACAACAACAATGTTTTTCCAGCCATAGACCTCAACAAAGGCGGCAATTGAAGCAGCCTGGAAGGAGTCCTTGGCACAAGCTCGAAGGAAGTAGGGGACATTATACTGAGTGGCCGCATCACCCGTTGTTGAGAAACTAATGACAGGAACCTTGGTCTTGTTCGCTAGATACGTAACAAACTCAGCTTGTAAAGTGCTTTGAGGGCCAATGATAACGCTGACCTTGTCATTACGAATGAGATCTACTGCTGCAAGAAAGAGGACAAAGGTACCATCAAATGTGGCACATGGAAATTCTCTTTAAATTCATGTTAACATTAGCAAGCTGTGGAACTAGATCAATGTTAAAATGCTGAGGTCATCCAATATTCTGAAAATTACTACAAGACAACAGAAAGAAGTTTTCTCAGGGAATGACTTGACTTTATTTTTCATGCCTAATACCTATCTTCAAGGGATTTCAAGGAAAAAAACTTTTTTCATAAACTAGATAAATAAAAAACTAAATATCGTTGAAGTTAAAGAAGAATGATGGCACTTATGTAAGGTTGCAACTGTTATGAATGGCACTCCTTTTTCTTTTTCCTTTCCCCTTTGGGAGAAGGGAGGCGAGCCTCCATGAATCAGATATTAGGTCAATTCAAATTTCTTGCAATAATTCAAATTTTTTTACAACATACTTTGCATGAAATTACATTGCTGATTCGAATATAGAAATTTGCAATAAAAACGTCCGAATTATCTTGTGGGCCGTTTTGAGGCCGAAAATGAATGAATCAGGTGGGGATCTCCCGCCCACACCCCATTCCCCCCTGTTTGAACCTAAAAAAAAATCTTGCAAGAATGCAACAGAGAAATTAGGAGCTGAATCATTACTAGCCAGGATTCAAGAGCAATTTTCTTTTCCGAATTCGAGTGCAGTTACCTACCGAAAATGCAGAGTGTACTCACGGGGAAAATATAATGGAATCCCACAAAAAGGGAAAAGAATCAGGAGGCCACAGGATCTTACCTGTAGACAGGAGATCAGAGAGGGACCATTCGATGGACACGCTCTAAAAGATAGGCGCAGATCCGTGAAGAGGTCTGGAGAAAAAGGACTGAAATCACTGATAAATAGGGATAGGGTACTGCGACTGCGATGGTGCTCTGCTTTTCTGCTCCTGGTTCTCTACATTTCCAAAAACACCCTACATTGTACTATTTTCAGCATTTGATCTCTTTTCTTCGAAATAAAAACACAAGACCATTTTTAATAATCCATTTTTTCTCAAACTTCATTTATAGAAAATTTTGGTTTTGTAGAGTATTTTAGGTTTGGGATATTTGGTGCACTAAGTTTGTTTATATACGTAGCTTTGAAGACCATGGTATTCCTAAATTGTCATCTTTGGGAGTTTTAGAAACTCTAATTGATGCCTTTTTTCCCCTAAAGTGTTGTCTTGCATATTTAGTTTGTAAAGCAATACTTTCACAATATCCCGATTCACATCACTTGAAAATTTCTAGAAGCCTAGGACAAATAACTCAACGCCTACCAAAGATCCCTAGGTTGATGGGCAAGAAAGAGAGGCAAGTGACAAAAGTGTCACTCTTGATTCATCCATGCCAAGTGGAAAGAAGAGGCCAATGGATAGAAAGCAAGCGAAGGAGAAATTGAGGAGTGGAGGGGATCGAGGACCATACAAAGAGGTCCTCCAAAATCTTATTTTGGAGAAAGAGAAATTAAAAGAAGAGAGATAAAGGAAAGCAAGATTATACATGCAGCATAATGTCTTGGTAGAGGAGCACAAAATGGAGACAAAGAAGCGCAAGGCTGACATTGAGAAGCAGAGGTTGAGGTGGGATTAAGAACAAAAGATCATGTTTTGTCAACATTTTGGAGATGTATGTGAGAGCATATCTGATGGCAGTTGAGGGCACAACTTGTAGCTCAAGTGCTCAACAGATGACGACATTCAAAGACAGCTTCTGTGGATCAAGTGGTGCACTGGGTGGAGCTAGTGAGTCTAGTGATGGTGATGGCAATGAAGACAAGTGATGCATTCTTGTGTTTCATGTTTGTGGATTTTATGTTGTGATTGATTATATCTAATGCGACGAACCATGTCGTTTAAATTTTAATTGAAATGTTTGAATTCGTGGTAAATATTAGTCGTTTGTATGAACTTGTAACATTTAGTTTGGAGGTCAAATAGATATAGATATAATGTATAGAGTAAGTGGGAAATAGAGTAAATAAAAAAGTAGTGGTCTGATTTAAGGGCCCGTTGAAGTTGAACCCAAAATTCGCAGCACCAAAAGGTAGGAAGTGCTCCAAATCAAATGTATGGACCTTGCTTAAGGTAGTGTTTGTTGACGTAAACGTTATAGAAACCACAGCGTGGTTGCAGCATAGGACCGCTAACAAAGTGTATTGTACTACGTCTTTGCATTAGACTGCCACGACGCATGTATTTGCTCCGAGGGTGCCACCGTTGAGAAGACTCACAGCCTGTTCGGTTGACTGGTTCGTTTCGTTGCTGGTTCGTGAAGAAGTACTGCTGGCTGGTTTGTGTGAAAAAAAAAACTGTTCTGGCTGAAAATTTACGATCGTTTACGACAAGCCACAGCCAAACGAACAGGCTGTCAGACGTGAAGAGGACAGATCTTGGAGTGATGAAAAACAATTTATGAAAAGGGAGAAATTCGTTAAGTATTCGCCTTCCGCAGTGTAGTGATGAAGTAATGCTTCTTTTTTTTTGAGTTTTGGGCGTCACTTCTAGTGGTGCTTGAACATTGCAGCGGCACAATTTGGGTACGCCAGCGATTGCTCCTAAAAATTTGTTGTTGCATCCGGCCAGAAAAGGAGATAAGAAGCGAGTTGGATTTTTCAGTTCTGTATTGTGGGTCTTACTACAGGAGGGAGTGATGTTGCACGTTATGGTGTTAGAAAAGATTCCTCGTGATATTGACAACAAGGATCAGAACCTAGCATTAACATCAATAGATTTGCTCAAGCCTGGTAAGAGATCATTGCATGCCTCTACTCTGCTCTGCATTCTGCAGTTCCAATCAAACAAATGGAATGGCGCGCGCGCGCACACACACACACTAGTGAAGCTTTACGTTGTGGAAAACCTTGGTCAGCCTGCTGAAAGACGCCTTTTTCACTGGTCTATCGTCTATCCAGTTCAATGGTTGATGGTCAAGGGCACGATGCATGTTTGGTGTCAAAAGGCAGCCGTTGCAGGTAGGACATGGACAACAAACACATGAAGCGTCATCAACTCCAAGACGAGCAGAAAGAAAAGAATTCCTGGACTCTTGGCTGTCATCTAGCTACAGGTGCACGAGATCCAAAACGAAGCCACTGGTCATATATAGGCCTCGTTTAGATTGTAAGTTTTTTCACTCTCTCTCTATCACATTAAATCTTTGGATACATGCATGGAGTATTAAATATAGATAAAAAATAACTAATTACACAGTTTGATTGTAAATTACGAGACGAATCTTTTGAGCCTAGTTAGGTCATGATTGAACAATAATTATCAAATACAAACGAAAGTGCTACAGTGCCAAATACTGATTCCTAACCCCAATCTAAACAAGACCATGATGTTAGGTACGGTGCTAGTAGGTGTCAGTACTCGTTACACTGACAAGCGAGCTTTGCTTGTCAGACCTCACGCCGGTTGCTTGCGGAGATTGAGGCCGATCTTATCCAAAAACCGGCGCTTCTAATTTACTCCCTCTGATTTAAAAGAAATATAACTATAGATTTGTATAAGTCAAATTAGCTTAAGTCTAATCAAATTTATAGTATCCCCTTCCATTTTTTTAAAAAAATGTAACTCTCACCTTCTTGAAAAATCAAATAGCTTTAAGTTGAACTAAATCTATAAAAAAGAGTTACTAACATTTATCATATAAAATAAATATCATTAGATTAATTATGAAATATAATTTTATATCTATATTTATACCTAATAATAAAGAGACAAAATTTCTCTCCACCTATTTTTTTGTCCGGCCATCCTTAACTAACTTTGTGAATGTGGAAAACCGCCAATAACCCTTCTCTTTATATAACTAGGAATTCTAATACAATTAGATATCTCAGATTTTGGGTGAATAGGAATCTTAATCTAAATAGGAAAAATATAACAATATGACAATCTTAATCCAATTAGATCTCTCCAACTCCGAGTAACCGGAATAGGAATCTTAATCCAAATGCAAAAATATAAGAATAGAAATTTAATAAAGAGGAAAGAAGGGTATAATTTCTTTGTTTCGTTTTTTCTGTTCCTTTTTCACCTTTTTCCGGTTTGTTCGTTTTTACTTGGTCCGAGTACGTGTTGCTTTACGTTCATTTAGATGCCTTTCGCTTGGCTCCAAATGTGTTCTGATTTTTTTTACTTTTCTAGAGTACATTCCAATTTCTGTTATGACTGTTTTCTACTTAATTGGCTTCGAGTATGCTCAGTTTTTTTTTCTCGTGGATGTTTTTACACTAGACTTTTTTTATTTTGTTTTCATTGTTTTCTCCACTTGGTTTTTTCGTGTCCTAATAAATATAATAAGAGGAAAAACAAAAAAATAAATAAGAGATCATAACCATTTTAATCTTTGACTCCTTAAGAAACAAAGATTTTTAGTGCTAATTAATTTATTTTTTGACTCGAACTCATGACTAGTGCTACAACTCACTATATATTGGATCCTGTTGCAACGCACGGGCATGTTTGCTGGTTAAACCTAATTGAAGGCATAAGCACGTGAGACCTTGGCGTGCAGAGCATGCATGTACTTGCACAATTGCAGATTACTGCAATAATATAGAACGCTGAAAAGGCATACAGGCAGAACCGCATACATTTGAAAGAAGCCATGCAAGTGCAAGCGGCTAGATATCACAAGCAGCGAAGCGAAGGAGATATATATGCGGTATACAGTATAAGTATATACCTGCGGCGGCGGCGGTGACGACGTCACGTTCGGAGTCCTTGACGTGGAGCCGCACCCTGGTGGTGGCGGCCGGGTGCGCGGCGTAGAAATCCTCCAGCGCCATCTCCAGGCTCAGCAGGCTCTTCTTCCCCAGCCCGGTGCCAAGGTCCAGTATCACCCCGACGTGGACCGGCACCGTCGCCGTCGTCGTCTGCGCGGCCGCTCCAGCGTGGGCGTGGGGAACCCCACCCGCGACGGCGAGGAGCGGCAGGTAGACCAGCACGACGACGGCCGCGGCGCCGGCGAGTAAGGGACCAGCGGAAGGAGCAGCGCGCGCACGCGCGTCGTCGTGCGGCATTATATATGGTCGGTGATCAGTGGACGGCTCTAGGTTCGCTAGAGCGAGCTAGTACCTAGAGTGGCGTCTCGTTCGCCCGCAGGTACTGTAGTAGATCTAGGCATCTGTGGCGTGAATAGAAGAAGGCCGAGGGAGACGGCAGTCCCGTGAGCGTGCGTCGTCAGCGCGTCAACGAAACGAGCACCTTGGCCAGTGGCCACGGACGTCGGACGGAGCCATAAGAAACTGGCTGGCCGGATCGGAAGCCCCGCCGCACATGACGCTTGTCGCGGCCCGCGGTCCCTGGACGAGTCGCCGGCCGGCGCCAACCGGGCCGGGGCGGATCGACGCGTAGTAGCTCTGTAAACACACGTTCGTCCTTCTTAACGAAATACACGTGAAGTCGTGTTCTATAGAAAACACACACACACACGTTCGTCCAACACACGCCTTGAGAGTCGAGACTCTGTCGAGACGAGGTCACGCACGCGCGTTCAACCGCTTCGATCCCCTCCCCAGACCCAGCAAGCCAGCATAATCTACCAGCATGTTGATCCGTCGGGCTTGTTCGGCTGGCTTCAAGCCAGCCAGCCGGCTTGTTTTTTCTCTCACATAATCACTGTTCACGTCCTGCCAGAACAGTATTTCTCTCTCACAACAATCAGCCGGAACAGTATTTTTCAGTCCTGCCGAACAGGCCCGTCGTCCGCCGGTCAAGGCCTGCCTACCTGCCTGCCGCTGCCGACAAAAGCTAAGGATTTTTATATGGGTTTGTCAGATACTTCTAGTTTGGGGCAGTTTGGATGTCAAATTTTTTGGCAAAACGCTACTGTAGCGTTTTCGTTGTTATTTAGCAATTAGTGTCCATCATAGTCTAATTAGACTTAAAAGATTCGTATCGTGGATTTCGTCTAAACTGTGTAATTAGTTTTATTTTTTATTTACATTTAATGCTTCATGCATACATCCAAAGATTTGATGTAATGGAGAATCTTGAAAAAATTAATATTTTAGGGTGCAACTAAACAGGGCCTTGGAGTACATTTATGTTGAACCCAACCAATCAGGGTTGTTTAAAATTCACTCCCTTCTCGCACGAGAGCATTCGGGGACTCGTGGTTCATCCGCGGGCTGAGATCTGGCGCTGTTCTTTTTTCAGAAACAGCCTCATACTTTCTGGGAACTAACACGCGGTCCAGTCAATAGTTCCTGCGCGGTGCGCGTGTTGGAATTTTGTTCATGTAAACCCCTGATGTAAATTTTATTCTAACATGAAGAAGAGAAAATTCGAGACTTTGCTCTTTTTTGCATAACTCTGAAGATTTTGTAGAGAGCCCCTCGCCCGGGCCGAACCCTGAGCCCCTCCTCATTCCTCTCTCTCTTCTCCCAACCATCGATGCACCGCTCCCTCGGCTCTCTCTCGCGCCTCCGGAAGCGCAGGCCCCTGCTCCTCCCCATGGCTCCCGTGCGGAAGGGCCACATGCTCCGAGATGGGGCGGCCGAGAGCCATGCCTGGCATGCCGCCGCCGCCGCGCCATGGCGGGCCAACCGGCTAGCCAACAACCGCCGTCCCCAGGCCGGGCGAGCTGGCTGCTGGCCGACCGCCGCCGCGCGGGTCGACCGTAGCACCAGCTCAATACCGCGCTCATCCCGGGCCGGGATGGGCCTGGATGCGGGCTCGATTCGTCTCCGTCCGATCTACGCTGTCCAGTCGTTGAGCTCCTCCTCCTTGTGTGGTCTGCAGATCGACGAGGTGCCTTGGATGTGTGTACATCTGTTCGATGACTAGGCGGTGACTGCCGCGACCGACGAAGCTGAGGTGAGTTCCAGTTCTTTCCCATTTCTTCCGGCTATTCTTTCCTCGACCGACTTCTTCCCCTTGGTTGTTTCCGTTTTGCTCAGTATTTGATCTCGCCACGTGATCACAAACTTGAGCGCAATGCCTATGTAGTACTGGATGGGAATGTCCCCTGAACTTTGCATTATGAAGGGAGCAGGCAAACGGACATTAGAAATAGCATTTGTTCTTCTATAAAAAAAATCAATTACTCCTGCATAACAAAAGTGTTATTTCCTACAGGAAAAAACATTGGCTTTGTCTTGCCCAGATTGGAATCTTTGGTTAACAGGCTAAGCAAGGCATCCAGAAGAACTGACTATGGCAGGAGTCCAAAGTGTTTCGGTTCTGCCGCCAACTAGAGGGGTTGTTGTATTACTTCGTGTGGATCATATGGTCAATCACTGTGTCTATACAAATTCCAATAAAATATGTAATACAATCACATGATGACAGATTTCGAACCACATATAGCTGCATAACTTTTTTTTTTGTTGAGGGGGCTGCATAACTTATTTTGGAGAGGAGTGTTGACAGTCACTTAACCCTCCTCTTCGTTGTAGGATTATGCCTATGTAGTACTGGATGGGAATGTCCCCTGAACTTCGCATTACGAAGGAAGCAGGCAAACGGACATTAGGAATAGCATTTGCTCTTCTATAAAAAAAAATCAATTACTCCTGTATAACAAAAGTGTTATTTCCTACAGGAAAAAACATTGGCTTTGTCTTGCCCAGATTGGAATCTTTGGTTGACAGGCTAAGCAAGGCGTGGCATCCAGAAGAACTGAGTATGGCAGGAGTCCAAAGTGTTTCTTGTTGGAACTTCTGGTCCTGTGAAGGTAATTGTCTCATCTTTGATGACATCCCCAGCCGATTGGACCATTATCTCAGCATTTAATAAAATATATAGAAAAATGGTACTTGGTGCTTGGTGTTGTGCTTAGAGTACATGTAATCTATACTGTATAAGATGATATACAGCAGGTCTTGTTGTTTGTTTGACTGGCGTACTTGCAGCTTGTGGCAAGGCTGAAGAATATGAGTTTTGCCAATGCCTTTGACTCCCATCCAGATGGCGCCAAACAATTATCAGGTACTGCTTTATGATTTTTCTAGAGGACTATGCGGTTGATTTGCTATGATGTCGTTGATAAGGTTATACTCCTGACAGCTCTGCATTGTTAATTCTTTTTACAGTTCAGTCGAAGATAACTAATCAACAAAGGAAGGTCACAATACTTTTGCCTCTACCGGTTGCAACAAAGCGCTGATCGACATGTATGTGAGACCTGATTTGCGACCGAAGTTCACTGCTCTTTTGGTTTATCTGTACCATTATACATCTACTGTGATGATCACTGAATATTTGGATCGGCCTTCTAAGCTACCAGTTATAGTGTTCGGTATGTAATTGATGGGTATGTAATGTATGGCCAGATAGAACCATAGTGGCTATGGTTGTCATGCATGTAGTGAAGAATCGTGTAGTCTATGGCTGAACAGAACTTGTGGTGTTTGCAAATGGTCCATGATTTGTACTAGGTATCAAACGACATGCTATCTTTACTCTTGTGCTATGCTAATATTCGTGATAGTTGTGCTTAGTATATTAGCCGTATCTATTGGTTATAATAAGTTGTTTTTCCTCAAATCATTGCAGGGCGCCCGAAGGGCGCCTGATTTTTCAATAAATGTACAATTGTGTGGCAAGTCCATGCTCATCCTAGCTCAACCCGTTTTTTGCGCATCAATCATCATGTACTCAACATATCCATCCTCAATCTTAGTGGGGGAGCAAGTTGGCTACTAGGGCCACCCTAGGGTTGAATATGCTTTCCATGTTGCTAAGACACTTCACACCCTCCGTCGACACCTTAATCTCGAGTCATCTTTGGCTCTAAAGTCGTGTGTGATCATTATATTATGACACCTATCGATCTCCGGTGGCATTGCTAGTCAATTCACTTCCATGCATGCCCGTTCAAGAGGGAGGATGCCACCCTACCAAATCCTAGTAAAGACTTTGTTTTCAAACTAGTCGACATAGCTTCTCAGACTACCCGATAGTGCCATGCAAACACTGTGTTGACTAATCAACTAGCCAAGCCAAATTGGGTCGTTGAACCGTCTGTGCAATCCTACAATGACTCAGCACATGCATGCAGTGAGGTGCCAATGCCCCACAACCCTAGGCCTCACATGTCAGCTCAACCAGCAGCAACACAATATTAACCTCTTCCACTTTCCCTTTCACTCTCTCTTCATATTCTTCCTCCTATCTCTCTCTAGCATGGAGATGGGGAAAACCCTAAGGAGCCATGCCTTGAATCCACCCTCCATCTCCAACTCCACACTCCATTTTTTAGGAAGATCCAGACCCCAAGGCGTTCATCATCCTCTACCTCATCTTCCTCGTAGTGAAGCAAGATATGACCTTACCTCACTCCATGGGGGTGGTCCATTGATCACATACAAGGGCAAAATGGTCATTGAACTTCATAGCGGTTTGCATTCTGTTGACACAAAAATGTGGCGATGTGATCAACACACAGCAAGCCAGAAGATCTAAGTGGAACGAGACCAGAGATCTGCTTAGCTTCAACACAGAACCAGCCGATTTTGAAAACCCAACGACGTGCCAGTCAGTTTGACCTGCAATTGACAAGGAGAGAAAATCTATCAGTAATTTAAGGTGAAACATATCGGTGTTGCACCAAACAGTTTCAAATGTACGGCTAGATAGCCGATTCAATGAGGCTATCGACTAAATAGTCGATATCCGGCGTATCCATAAGAAGAGATATTAGAAAGCATCATCGGCTAAATAGAACTTGATCGATATAAAGTGTCGAGCCGATAAGTTTGATGAAAAGAGTATAACATGCGAACAAATCGACTGTCTAATATAAATGAATCTACAAACAGTTTGAATCTAATATATTATCATCAACAGTGAGGTTCGATCGGATCGATGCAGCTATGATAATGATGATAAACTAAAGCCAAAGAATCTATAAAACCATCTATATGTTGACAGATTCATGAAAACATGCTACATACATAAGAGTATAGTCAAATCGGTTAAAATAGTTGATGCAGTCATAGTGTCGGTGCGAAAAGTGACCAACAAGTAAATATTTGTAGTTTTACCGTGCGTTGTGATTGGATGTGGCCTAGCACTC